TAGGCGATTTTGTTGTTGTGTGAACATTATAGAGTGCACTTAAACCTAGATGGTATAGCCTACTACACACCTGGGCTCTATGGTACGGATCTTATGGGACCACTGTTGCATATGCAGTCCATTGCTGACTGAAACGTCACTATGTGGTGTATGACTGTATATGTCCATATGAAGACTTGCACATGTTCATAGTAGCTTTATTTATAATAGCCAAAATGGAAAACAACAAAAATGACCATCAACAAGTGATTTGATAAATAAATTATGATATATTGATATAATAGAATGTTACTCATCAATTAAAAGAAATGAACTATTGATACCTGTACAAACATGAATTAATCTCAAAATAATTATGCTGAGGGGCCGGCCCTGTGGCTGAGGGGTTACGTTTGCATTCCCCACTTCAGTGGCCCGGGGTTTGCTGGTTTGGATCCTGGGCATGGACCTACACACTGGTTATCAAGCCATGCTGCGGTGGCGTCCCACACAGAAGAACTAAAATGACCTAAAACTAAGACATACGACTATGTACTGGGACTTTGGGGAGAAAACAAAAAAATGGAGGAAGATTGGCAACAGATGTTAGCTCAGGGCCAATCTTCCTCACCAAAAAGCATACTTCTAAAAAATAATAATAATAATTATGCGGAGTGAAATAATCTAGGCACACAAAAAAGGAGTACAAATCTCCCCCTGGAGAATTCAAAATAATTTACAAACATAGTCTGGCCTCAAGGAGGCAGAGAATTAACTCCCTTTTATGTGGGTTGCACATAGTGACTTCCTCCCAGAGAGTACAACATGCAGACTCAACAAAAGAGTAAGTGAACAGTGGAGAAGTCTGACAAACACAACGAGAATGAGAGCCGACTCTGGGCAGCTCTTCCCAACTCCACATTCAGTGATTTCACACTGGCAGCTTGAAATCAGCCACGGTGGGAGTATTAACACCAAGGAAATTGGTAAATGTTGCTCATCAGGGCTTTTCTTTTTCTCCTCAGAGATAGGATTGCCAGATAATACACAGGACACCCAGTGAAATTAGAACTTTCAATAAAAAAAGAATAATTCTTAAGTATGAGTAGATGAGATATACCTGAAATTCAAATTTAACAGGTTGTCCTGTGTTTTTTTTTGCTGAATCTGGGAACCTACCCCGACAGCCAGTTGTTAACATTTACTAGCACACCCAGTCTGACGCCACATCTGTGCTCTTGACCACTACGTTCTAGTACATCTTTATCACGAACATTTTATCAAAACTCACCAGAGAAGTCAACTAACACATTAGGATCTTTAGTTCTATGACCTCAATTGGCCACATTTCTAAAGAGAAAATTCTGCCACCTAGAGATATCTTTTTGGGAGTCTGTTGGTTCTTAACATAAACAACCATTGAACTTACCTTGAAGATTAATGTCCACCATATTACCTCTCCAAATCCAGGAACCCAAGCTCTCCTGTACTTCAGAAAAGAATTTCTCATGCCCTGTGGTGGATCTTAATAGGAACACAGGCAGCCAAAGGAGGATGCTCAAGGTCTCCTTTCAGAATGAGAGAATGTGATATTGGACAGTGGTTTCCATTAATCAGTGAGGCAAGAGCTGTCAAAGATCCCCCTCTTACACCCCGGTGTCTGTTTGATCAGCTTGCCCTCCAGTGGGACAGATTCCATCTGGGAGGGGGCGTCCTCCTTGGTAGACTGTCAAAGAACCTGGCAGAAATTCAGGTGTGGAAAAATTAAAGACACATGCAGGCAGGAATATCATCATCCTGGCCTAGATTCTGAAGTTTGATCGAATCACCCTTCTGGGACTTGAACTTCCCCGGGTAATAACCTGTTCCTCCTCAGACAGAAAGAAGAATCAGAGACCCTGCTTCTGACCCCTCAGTGTGGCCAAAACACTTCCCAGAGGTCTAAGTGTGAAAAGGGCTTCCTCTTATCCTTAGGTTCCACTGTTCTGGGCACAAAGAGGATCCAAGAGGGGCACAGCTGACCCCATTCCTAAGTAGCTATTTGTATCAACTCTGCTTGAGCCAGGATCTCTTTAATCCTTATGCAGAGAGGAAGGACACTGAGGAAGCTGGAAACTGGATTTTAGAAGCGTGTCGGTGCACAGCAGAGTGAATTCTGGCCACAAGCCCTCTGGTTGGCCCTGTGGGCATCCACACGGAGGTCGTGCATCATCTGATTCCTCACAGGGGCCAGCCAGCTGCCTTTGGCAGTTTACTGTGCACCTGATTCCCCTGGGGAACTTGTTGAAAAGCAAACTGTCACTCAGTAGGTCTGGGGCAGGGATTGGAAATTCTGCATTTCTAACATAGTCTCGGGTGATACTGTAGCTGCTGGCCCACAAACCACACTTTGAGCAGCTCCTCACGTTGGGTAGTCCCACACATCGAGTTGCAACTTTGTTTCTCCTGGACCAGGAGCATTGGCATCACCTGGGAACTTGTTAGAGGTGTAGATTTTGAGGTCCCAGCCCAGATCTACCAAATAAGACTCTGCATTTTAGCAAGATACCCAGGAGATTTATATGTACATTAACGTTGGAGAAGCACTGGCTTAGAAAACCTTTCCAGGAGGCTGGTCTGCCTCCAGCCAATGATTTTGCAGAGGGAATTATGATTTTAAAGCCCACAGATCATCATATAAGGTCTGGATGTTATGCAATGTTAGAAAGGAGCACCATTCCCATAAGCCAAGGGGGCTATCTGGGTAGAGAATCTGGAGACGGGGAGAAGGCATGTGGGTCTCTGGAGAGCCAGCTTTCAATGGGCTGCAAGATCCTCCAGAGGGAGCCAGAGCCCAGGAGGTGACTGCAGGGGCCGCTGTGGCGAGAGCGGAGGAGAGGCCCTGACTTTTTGTGTGTGACTTGTGTGTATGGGCGTGTGCGCACACACACACACCCCTACACACACTTCTTGATAGCCATTATGAAAATAATTTGGAAAAAGTACTTAAGAAGAAGTCGAAAATAATTAAACATTAAAGTTAATAAAATGCGGGTGGGAAGTTAAGTTACAAAAGAAAAAAAAACAACGAAAGGTTTTAGAGAATAATAAAGGAGAATGTCATCATAAATCTATATGTAATATAACAAAGGAGAGTATCATTCCTTCTTAGGGTAGGAAATGATTTATTTATTTTTTTTAGTGAGGAAGATTGGCTCTGAACTAACATCCGTTGCCAATCCTCCTCTTTTTGCCTGAGGAAGATTATCGCTAACACCTGTGCCAATCTTCCTCCATTTTGCACGTGGGATGCCACCACAGCGTGACTTGTTGAGCTGCGTGTAGGTCCACACGTGAGATCCAAACCCAAGAACCCCGGGCGGCAGAATTTAACCACTTAACCACTACACCACCAGCCGGCCCCAAGAAATGATTTCTTAAACAAGACATGGAAAGCACTAACCATCAAAGGAAAGACTGATAAATTGGAGTGCAGCTGGTAAAAAAGACAACTTTAAAAAAGGAGAGGGACAAGTCAAGAGTGGCAGGCATGTGCAACATATTTAACCGGTGAAGAGCTTATATAAAAAAGTCCTACATATGAAAGAAAACAAAAACTTACATGAAAAAAACGGACAAAAGACTTGAATAGACATTTCTCAAAGGGTAATCTCAATGGCCAATAGAAAATGTGTTCCCCCTCCTTTGTTATCAGAAAAATGCAGACTAAAGCCACAGTGAGACACCACAACTGACCCCCAGTGTTGGCAAGAGGGAATTCTCATACCTCACAGGTGGGATTGTGAGATGGTAGAGACACTTTGGAGCAGAGCTAAGAATTTTTTAGGAAATTGAAGCTACACACGCCCTAGGACTCAGCAATTGCATTCCCGGGTATGCACCCAACAGAAAAGCATGCACATAACCGCAAGAAGACATGTCTAAGAAGGCTCCCCAAATCAGAAACAACCCAAATGTAAGCAACGGAAGACTGACGAACAAATCATAACACGATCATGCTATACAACCAGGAAAAGGACCGAACTTAAGAGAGTCTGAAAAACGTAATGTTGAGGGAAAAAGCAGACACAAAAGAATACATGCTGTATGAATCTATTAATACAAAGTTCAAAAATGAGTAAAACTGTGTATAAAAACTAAAAATCTGATATTAAAAACTATAAAAGAATGTAAACTAATCATTAAAAATCTAATAATTGTAAGTAGCTTTGATGGTTACTTTTATGTGTCAATTTGGCCGTACTATGGTGCCCAGTCATGTTTTGGTCTGATCCATTATTCTGGATGTTTCTGGAAGGGTGTTTTTGGATGAGATTAACATTTAAGTCAGTGGAATTTGAGTAAAACAGACTGCCTCCATAGTGCGGGTGGGCCTCACCCAATCAGTTAAAGGCCTGGAGAGAACAAAGGCTGACATCCCCCACGCAGGAGGAGGTTCTGCCTGCAGATTTGAACTGCCTTATGGGTTCTTCCTTGGGTCTCCAGCCCGTTGGCCCACTCTGCAGATTTTGGACCTTCCAGCCTCCATAATCACATAAGCCAATTCCTTAAAATAAATCTGAATTAAAATTAACAATTAAAATATATGTATATATACATAAGCACACATATCCTATGGGTTCTATTTCTTGGGAGAACACACCACTGGCCAGCCCCATCCCCGACTAATATAGTAGGTAAAAGTGTTTAAAACATTAATATGAATAGATGAAATGTACCTACAAGGTACAAGGACCATGGATAGAGTGCATTGATGGAACATGAGGAATTCAGGTTGGAGAGGTGAACAAACACCAGAGAGAGAGGCTTTAGTTGACTAAGTCTTCACCCCGAAAAAAACTGAGCAGTCTTTGTTTGTAAGTGGTAGCGACGTGGTTAGATCATTTCCCAGCCACACTCTCTGCCCACTCCAGCCCTCTGGACTCCAACACGCCAGGAACATGGTAGTGTGTGTTCACTTCACCCCAGGGATCATTCGATGCCTAAACTTAGACCTCACAATAGCTCCCAAGTAGGCCAGTTATGATGCAAGAAATGTCTGTGACTGCCCCTTGGGCTCCCACTAAACTGTCTGAGAAAGAAACTCCAGGCATCGACGCCTCCCATCCTAGCCTATTGCCAGAGTATGATCAGAGAAAGGGAGAATGGCTGTCAGAAGATTAGAAAAGAGGAGGCTAAAGATTCAAGGGCTCACGAAAGGAAGATTGCAGAGGGGAAGCCAAATAAGAATGGAAAACCAGTCAGAACATTCCATACCAGCGATTCCTTTCAGGATAAAAACCTCCTGTGCTTCCAAGGGGATCTAGGTTCTGCTTCACTGTTGGGGTGAGTGTAACCTGTGCTTCTAATCCATTCCTTCCCTTCCATCTCCCAACAAGCCCCCATGTGGCTTCAGAAACCCTGGTCACAGTGGCCCCAGCCTAATGTATAATCTACCCCTGTGAGGTTTCCTGCTCCAAAGGGGCCGACTGGGAAGACTCTTTCCAGAATTCTGATACACCTGCCTCTCTGCCTTCCAGGACATGGACCAAACTCTGCAAATCAGACCCACGCATTGCCCTTGGAAAATATTCTCCCTTGGAAAAAGAGCTCCTAGTAAGTGCCCTGAAGTTTATACAAAGGGGGGCCCTGCTGAAGCCAGGCAGTCAGGCTAAGGGAGCCAGAGGTTCAAAAAGTACCAGCACAGAGATGTAAGCTTCCCAAACGGTGGACTCGAGTTGACTGAGTCTGCTAGTGGCTTCCACACTCACATAGCAACATACTCTCTTATTTCAAAGCCCCAATTAGGAATGTAACTCTACGTGATAACAAATGATGGAAGCTGCCATTTCTTGTGTCCTTACCTTGCATTAGTTGCTTTCATATTTCATGTTGTCTTATGGAGGCTTCACAGTACCCCTGTAAGGTCAACAAAATTCTTTCAAGTTTATAATAGGTAAGGAGAGTCAGGATTTGAATCCAGGCTTGTCTGACTCCAAAGATCTGCCCTCTTTCCCCCTACGCAGGGGTTCAGACACACTCAGCAACAGAGGGAGAAGGAACCGCTAGGTAATCCATTCTGTGGGCGCCCCCCGTCCCTGTTCCATTGAGATTTTAACAATCCTTTTCCTGTTGTCAGCGTCTAGGTGGCACTCACACTGTAGCAGCAAGAAGGTTTCTGAATTATAAGCAAGAAGAAGAATGGAAAATGCTCAAGGAACTGCAGTTGCTGTCTCCAGACTACAAACAGGCAATGGCATATAAAAAACAACACTCTATTCCTTGTACCGCTTGTGGGCCCCTAGAAAAAATATGGACGGCAAAGGTGATTGTGCCCCCAGAGGAGTTCAAGATGCCACAACGGGAGAGGCTCAACATCAGCAAACACATAGAACGGATGCAGTTTGCTAGAGCTCTGAGAAATAAGCAGCTTTTACCCTACATTGAAAGGTACAGGAGTTCTTCATTTCTGTCTGGAGGGGGCCTGGGCCCAACGGCAAAAGACAAGGCCGGAAGAGATGAGGACGACGCTGACAGTGATGGCTGTGATGATGCCAAGCCAGAGGAGAGAGACGAGGCAGAGAACAAAACTACAAAAAGACAAGAAATAAAAATGGATGTAATTTTCAAGTCAGAAGAACCAAAGAAACGTCTAACATACCATGCAAATGATCGGAAACCATTCTTCCCCACAAAGAAAGTGGAACGGTCCATCACTGGCTTAACCAACCGAAATCTTTTCCACTTAGCCGAATTCCCTGGAGACCTAATGCTAATGAATCAGGATTTTATATCACGGGGAGGCCACTCCAGTGGTGCCATGAAGGCCAACCGCCTGGAAGAAGACAGTGTCTGGAAAGAGCACATGTGCAAAGCTGCTTGTCACCGTTATTAAAGTTTTATTTACTCCCCATGGTAACCGAGTGTCCTGGTCCTTATTACTCCTGCAGCTCTGCCCCAGGTGCCTTTCCTCCCCAGCTGCTTTTGGGACCTGATCTCCGGGGGATCCTCAAGGTAAGACCAAGCAGCTGGGGTTTCCTCGTTTCAGGCAACTCTTGTCTCTCAGCTCCAACCCTCAGAACAGCCCAGGCCTTTCCAGGATGCAGGCTCCTCCTTGTCACCAGCTCCCATGGGGCCTGTATCAGTGACCTGTTTCTGTGAAACAAATTACCCCAAGATGTAGTGGCTTAAAACAAAAATCATCAATTTAGCTGATAAGTCTACGGGTCGGCAGTTTAGGCTGGGCTCAGCTGGGCAGTTTTCCTGGTCTCAGCTGGGTTCCTTATGTGTCTGCAATCCACTGCAGGTCAGTTAGGTGATTGTCCTTCAGGAGTTGACAGCTATCAGCTGGGTCAATGGGAGTGACTGGGCCACACGTTTCCTTCCTCCAGCAGGTTAGCCCAGGCTTGTTCTCAGGGCCATTGCAGGATCCAAGAGAGTACAGGGAAGTTTGCAAGGTCTCCTGAAGCCAAGACTGAGAACTAGCACATCATTGCTTTGTCCTATCACTGTTTGCCAAAGCAAGATACAAGGCCAGGCCAGATGCCAGGGCAAGTAGATGGATTTCATCTCAGGATGAGAAGAGTTGCAAAGTCATAGTGCAAAGGGCATGGATCCAGGGAGGCAGGTACGGTTGGGGCCATGATTGCAATCACTCTACCACAGTGTCCCTGGAGCTGGGACCAGCCTGTAGCCCCGAGGAGGAAAAGAATGCCACTCAAGAAGAAGGTTGTTCAGGCCTAAAGGCTGGAGGTCTCTGTCATGCTCCCCACTTCTCGCCTAGGCATGCAGCCTCTACCCTGGAAGGCAGAGCCAGCGCATTCCTGATCTTATCTCTTTGCTGTCCTCCCGTCAATGCAGCCCGGTGACCTGCACCTTCCCCACCAAGTCAAGTGCAGGCACAGGGCACACAAGGCAGTAGCATGCCCGACTCCTTTGGGTGCATCAGGAGGAGTTTCCAAGGTCTCCATGGTCAGTCATTGCTCCTCCCATTGAGGTCCTGCCTATGGCCCAAAGCAGCAGATCTAGGAGACAACAACTGGGACAGTACATTCAGCATTTGAGAAGCATGACATGTTCATCTCTTGTCTGCATCTGATGCATAGACGAGTCCCTCAGTTAATCACATTCTGTCCTCAGCAGCTCTGTGCACAGTCGGAAAGACACTGAACTTGTTCACTGGGCCCGCAGCTGCCTGGGACAAGGCCAGCTTTCTTTCTAGTTTGCTCCTGTCAGTGGCTCTCTCACAATTGGCTCTTTCAGAACTATGGCTCCCCTCCAAGCAGGGCGAGAGTCATTGGCAGGGGCCTTTGCCCTCTTTCATTTTCCAGGATAACTCCACTGATCAGAGCTACAAGTTAAGAGAGAAGCATTACTTGAAGTATTGTCTCTGTGGCCGCCATCGCCAAGACAGCGGTTCAGGGCACTGCAGCATCGTCCCGAAGTCATCAAGGGAAGAATCAGTGCAAACCAAAGAAATGTGCCAACTTTTCAACTGAGGCAAAGTTGGAAATTGGGGAGAAGGAAGCTATTATTTCCACTGTTGATGCAACTTCCTGAGTGTATATAAAATTGTGAATATCAAAGCAGCACATGAAAACTCAAACCAGCTTGAAAAAATTTAAAAACTATTTAGCTAGATCCTGAAAGTTGCTTAAGATCAGGTATGCAATGTGGTAGAAAGTTCTTTGAAGGAGAAGTGAGGAGATCAGTGCTCTTCTTACGGCTCTGCACCAGCCAGCTGTGTGGTGTGGGTAAGCGGCTAGGCTGTGACTCAACTTCATCAGTCAAAGGAGCGCGTCAAACTGGAGGACCACCAAGGCCCAGGTCTATGACTCATTTAAGTAGCTGTTTGCAATGGAGTTGGTAGTCGGCTAAATACTTACCCACTCCTCACCATCTACTTATTGCGGACAGTCACAGCCTAAGTATTGTGTTACAAGAAGGTCAGGTGGTGCTGGCTTGGAGATGTTTTCAATGAGTCGAGGAGTCTCCTCTGAGGATAAATCAGACCCCTGGGAAGGAGAAGGCCTTGACTCTAGCAGAAGGCGAGACTCGGCACTACTAGCTGTTGTCAGGAACAACCTTGTTGGTAGCACAATTTTAATTACTATAAACAGTTATCACCTGGAGCCATCCAGAAATAACCCACAGTTAACAGGGTATGTGTATGTGTGTGCCATCATTTAGGAAGTATACATGAAAATAAATTTAGATCCAGATTTGAATTTTTTTTTTAAACAATTTTTTTTTTTTTAAAGATTTAATTTTTTCCTTTTTATCCCCAAAGCCCCCCGGTACACAGTTGTGTATTCTTCGTTGTGGGTTCTTCTAGTTGTGGCATGTGGGACGCTGCCTCAGCATGGTCTGATGAGCAGTGCCATGTCCGCGCCCAGGATTCAAACTAACGAAACACTGGGCCGCCTGCAACGGAGCGCGCAAACTTAACCACTCGGCCACGGGGCCAGCCCCCCAGATTTGAATTTTTTTAAGGTTTCAAAGTAATTTCTGGATTAGGTGTATATTCACCCTAACTGCTGACCTGAAGTACCATAAACACACCCAAATTTGATAAAGAGATAAGTGGCCCCAGGGCCCTGTGATAGTCTTATGCTCATCAGATTATACTATTGTGGAATTTGGAAAGCCTTTGGGCATCACCATCAGAAAAAAAAAGAAACTTCTGGTAAGGAGTCATTTAATCTGAAATTTCTAACAATCTGTTATTCCCTGAGAACTCTGATTAATAGGGCGGGGGGGGGGGGGGGGGGGGGGGGGGGGGCTGGGTACGGCCCAGTGGCACAGGGATTAAGTTCTCACATTCCGCTTGGGCAGCCCGGGGTTCACTGGTTCAGATCCCAGGTGGGGACCTATGCACTGCTTATCAAGCCATGCTGTGGCAGGCGTCCCACATATAAAGTAGAAGAAGATGGGCACGGATGTTAGCTCAGGACCAGTCTTCCTTCTCAGCAAAAAGAGGAGGATTGGCAGCAAGTGTTAGCTCACGGCTAATCTTCCTCAAAAAAAAAAAAAGAAAAGAAAAGAAAAAGAAAAAAAAATAAAGCAACCTTGGGGAACAAGTGATAGATGAAATTTTTCACCAAAGTCTTATTGCCTATTGTGTTTATCCAATAGACAGAGGCGCAAAGAGCTTAGATAGAGAGATAGATGCTAGATATTTCAGAGGAAGTCCATCTGATAGTTGATCTTCAAATAAGCTTAAGTAATCATTGTTGGAAAAAGTCAGAACTTCTTTGAACTTCCTTACACTTGTAGTTTGGTATCAGTTTTATTTTGAATTACTTGTGGAAATAGATCCCATAATCTTTTCCATTCTTAGAGCCCACACAGGTTTTAATCTGGTCTTGCCTGAGACTCACGAGAGCCCTGTGGAGTCAGAGGGGGCTCATCTATGACGATGGTGTCTGAAGAAGGTGACCAAATCAGCTGGAGGATTCTGGGGTGAAACAACTGACAAGCACTTTGGACGTGGTCGGACTTTCAGCTCCATTTCTCGAAGAGACACCCTGTGCCTCCTGCTGTACTCCACACCTAGACCGGCTCTGTTGCTCTTCTCTGTGATCCCATGGCAACCTGACGTGGCTCCCTTTGTCTCATCATTGGCTTCACCCTTCCCCATGTCATCTTGTCACCTGGGGAAGTCCCTAAAACATTTTCCATGTCTAATGCTTTGTTTTTAACTTGTGGTTGCTCACAGGAACCAAGGCAGAGCAATGCCAGGTGGCCAAACGGCAGAACCAGTCCAAACCAGAAAGGTCCAAGATGGTGATGGGGTGCCATGGGCAAAAGGTGTGCAAGAAGGGAAGATCTGCGCGTGCCCCAAATTCTCCTGCCCCAGAGCAATGACGTGGAGACCCCTCCCCGTTCATTTCCCATGAAAACCCTGCTCACCTTCCTTTCAGGGAGAAGGTGTTTTAGAGCACAAGCTCTGCCTCTTCTATCCATTGATCAATGAATAACATTTCTGCTCTGCTAGTTGGTGTAGGAGGCTCCTGGCAAAAGGACCCACTTGTGTGTCACCAGTCCCTTAGGGCTCAGTAACAATCTGTCCTCATGTATAAGCTTCTGGGTGATGAGCCATTTGTGTGACCCCAGTGCCTCAATCCAACTTAATCATTCTGGCATCCCTAGTGCCTAGCACATCATATGCACCCAATCAATAATTACATCACTGTAATGAGGGGGAATTTATATTCGTTAAGAGCTGGAACCAGGATTTATCTTAGGGTAAATTGTCTTCCTTGGAGAAAAATACCTAAAAACCCATTTTGAACTGGAAGAGGGTACTTGGGGAGCTTCCTAACAGCAAAAGAAGGTTAGGAAATGAGAGTTTTCATTTTTCTCTTGAAAAGGAGAAGAAGAAGGGAGGGAGGGAGAAGGAGCTCATGAGATGGAATGAGGCTGGCGCTGCAGGGGTGAGGGCATGTAAACCCAGGGGCCAAAGAGGTGGTGGGCTGTTGAAAGCAGGAATATCTAAGGAGTTATTCTAAGTTGTTTGCTATGCAGAGTTCCAATGCCTCCTCCCCGAGACCCCCATTTAACTTTGAGTGGCTTGCATGAATAAGGTTGAGTGTGTGTGTGTGTGTGGGTGGGTGGGTGGCTAGTGTTTGTGAATTGAGGACAGAGCTGTGTTTTGCATCAGGTAGAGAGTTCAGAAGTGATGAATACATGAAAAGCAGCAAGATGTATTGAGGTATGAGGAAGCCATTTAGTTTAAAACCAATTTTGCCTGATCTTGTTTTTCCAGAAAGGCCTGACATGGCCTGTCAAGCATGCATTGTGCATCTGCTTTAAACATTTACAGTGTTCCACAGCCGAGAATGATACCCTTAAAGATAGGGACGTATGCCTGCCCCCAAATCAGCATTTCTTTAAGGATAAGCTTTGGCCTAAAAAATCTCACCTGATCTGGGCCCTGGCCCCCTCTCCATCCCCATCTCTGAGCCCCTGCACTCACTCATTCACTCACTCCAGCCTCCCTGGACTTCTGTCTGTCCCCTGAGCATGCCCGACTTGCTCCTGCCACAGCTCCTTTGCACTGGCAGGGATGCTCCTTCCCCACATGGCTGGTTCATTGTCTCAGCTTAAATATCACCTTCCCAGAGACAAAGGTTACCAAATGCTTAATATATTGACAAGATGGAACAATGGTCTTTGTTAAGCTTCCCCCACCCCAAGTGGGGAGGAAACAGCAACAGATGGTTACAATGGTTTTGTCAACAGTGTCCCCAAAAGGCAGAATATCTGATGGGCTAAGCCAGTTTCCTCACTACCCTCCTGGATTCAATTTCTACACTGGCCACTTTCAGTTTATCATCACTTTCTCTTATGACTTTTCTTTAACAACCCACTGCCGCTGGATATCTGAAGTATTCAGTGGAGGTAAGATAGACTCAAGTTCGAGAGCACGATGATAAACAAAGCTGGCCACCTAGATGTGATAGGTGACAGTGAAGATGCCTTTTGGAATGACTGCCCTACTGCACCCCCTCCCACCTCCTTCTCCAAGAACTGAGCCCAGTGCTCAGTGAGTGGGCTCCCTAGACAGTTTGTACTCAGTAGACCTGCTCTGCTGATGATAGCGAATCTAATCAGTGGTGGATGCTTGATCCAAACTGGACCAATCAGATTCTCTCCCTGAAAATTTCAAGATAGAAATCAGAGGGACACATGAGTTTTTGCTGTCCTTTTGAACCATAAATGGCTACATTTGGGAGCTATAGGGCAGCCATCTTCTACGGTGTGCGCAGAGAAGAGGAGGATAAAGCGGAGCAGAAGCATCAGATGAGGTGGAATGAGCAGAAGAGAGGGAAGGCGGCTTCTCAAATTGTGTTCCTGTTCCCACTGCCTTTCAGTTCCATGAGCTGCTCCTGGATCCTTTAATACAGTCCTTATTTTTTCTCAAACTACCCAAAGTATATATCTGTTACTTGCAACCAAGAGTATTTAGTAAAATAATAGCAAATGATTTTACTCAGCATTCAATCAACCTGGAAGAGAGGAGTGTATAGACAATAGACAAATAAATATAGAATTATATTGGTTCTATATAGAAATATAGAAATAAATACTGATTGTTCTTCTTGCCTATGTCATTATTGTTTCTTGGAACAGCATGAGAAGAAGTGTTGAATCAGATTGGCTGTTGACTGGGTCTTGAAAACACTGAACTTTCTTTCTGTTGGAAGACGGCATCTTTGCAGAGGTGCCACAGGCATATTCCAGTAGACAGGAACCCCAGGAGCCCTCAAAGACGTCAACACAAGTCAGAGAATAGTTGGAGAGGGTGCCGGCCTGGGAGAGAGACTGAAAAGGTTAAATCCGGCCTCAAACACCAATAACAGCGCTGGGAGTCAAGTTCGCACTCAAAGCAAGGGGCATTTTAACTACTTCTCACCTCCATAAATACCTCCATTTTATACTTAGTAGGTGGGTAAGCATTATTGTAGGCCAACTATTATCAGTAGCAAAGCAGAACTATCGGTTTTATGGAGAGTGGACGATACAGCTGGTCATGAACATTTGGGACACGACAGGAGAGGTTTCTATTCCCTACCCTGTCCATTTCAAAGACCAACCCTATCTGGGTGTTTCCAAAGTGATACCAATGCCTGCCCAAAATTTAAACTCTGCTATTTGAAATTATGTAATATGACCCAAAACAATCAGTTGGAACACAGATTAGGCAGACAGACAAATGTATTTTGCATCCTGTACGTAAATGTAACTGTGGACTGAACTTTACCATTAAAAATGTGACCAACCAAACAGACAATTTACTCAGAATGGAAGGAGGTAGGGAGGTGATGTTAATGGAATCATGTCCCAAACTGTCTGTCTCTATGGACACCATCACACTGAAGGGATAGAGTCATCTTTCCAATACATGGTCCCCTGCAGAGATTGGGATATTGAAACGGGGAAGAGAGATTTAAATTGGGGAATTTAATGCATCAAAACCAAATTCTACCTCTCCACAGCGTTGCCAGGGAGCACTTCCAATCGGGAAAGCCTGCCATAGTCTGGCTGCCTTATTTACAGATGCTTCTGGCCAGAGCTCTTAAGGGCTTTCTCTACATTCTACACCAGGCCTAGGAAACTCAGGATATCTTGGGGACCTCAAGAAGAGGTATAGCTATAGCTATTGCAGGCAAAATCTGATGGTAAGACCTTGGCTTGGCTTCTTAGGTTTTTGAGAGGCTTTTGGAAGTCTAATCTGGGATTCCTTATGAAAAGCTCTGGCAAAGCAGACTTAGCAAGAGCCTATATGGTCCTCACTATTTTTGCTGCGCTTATGTAAATAAGCAGGCCAGGTTTAACGAGACTAGACTTATTTTGCAAACTAATTAATCTTATTTTCAGGCTGGCCTGGTAGCACAGCGGTTAAGTTCACACGTTCCGCTTTGGCGGCCTGGGGTTCACTGGTTCGGATCCCGGGTTCAGACATGGCACCACTTGGCAAGCCATGCTGTGGTAGGCGTCCTGCATATAAAGTGGAGGAAGATAGGCACGGATGTTAGCTCAGGGCCTGTCTTCCTCAGCAAAAAGAGGAGGATTGGCAGCAGATGTTAGCTCAGGGCTAATCTTCCTCAAAAAAAAAAAGTCTTATTTTCATTATTTCTGATAGAAATGGGGTTCACTGTAGGGAGAAAAATTATGTCTCAATGGAAAACGGTAGCACACCTGTGTGGGTATTGGATTTTGCACTTGTTCATTGTCTGTAAGGTTTTGTTACTTGCTTGTCAACTGGACTCAATCTTGAATCCTCCTAGTTTCCTCCAATACCTGGCTACAACTCCCCTAATTAACGTTCTCCCGCCCTTCCGACTTGGGATCATTGAGAACTGAAACTGCCCTTTTCCCGAAGACCTGCAAGCTAAAGCTGGACAACTTGATATAAACTCCAGAGAAAACGCCTCAACAGACCCTGTTTAGACGATCTTCACACCCGTTGCTGTGTGGGCCACTCAGAAAGTTCACCAGAACTTTCCCCAAGACGTTCAAACTGCAAACCAGGAAGATCTGTCAGATGGCCACCACCTGCCCGCACTCCATCTGAAAATACTTTGAGTCTAACATCCAGAAATCTTGACTTATGGTCCTCTGGCCTCAAAAACTGAGTTTATGGTTTGTTCTAATCATTAACCTTTGTTTCTCTTTTGTTTCCATAGCAACGTCCAGGTCTGAGAGACTGACTCAATGGGTTATGGAACTTACTAATGTGGTTTCTGGACTGTGAAGTTCTCGGGAGAAGTTTCAGTGGGGGGATGATGGGGTTCAGGACATGCTACCCCAAAATACGGCACCTTGGCAAATGGAATATCTGAAGCTCAAGGAGTTTGGGAAAAGGTAGAAGCAGGAAAGTGACTCTAAACTCCCCCCACCTTGCCCTTCTTCCCTGAAATGGAACATAAACAGCCATGTGACAGGTGCCTCCCTGTGCCAGGAGGACGGAGGACTTCCTTATCTCCAGAGACAAGGAACTTGGGGCCGAGAAATCTGTACACACAAACCTCGTTAAGCTAACCCTTACCTTCCCAGTGGCTTCTTCACCATCTACCAGCCCTAGCCCAAAGCCCTTCGGCTTCTCAAACCTTCACAAATTTACTGTTTCTTTGTCTAAAAGATATAAAAGCTTCCTGCTCTGATAACCTCTTTAGGTCTTTATTCTCTTGTGAAAGTGCCCATGTACATGTAAAAATTCAATAAAATTTGTATGCTTTTCACCTGTTAACCTGTCTGTATCAGTTTAATCTTTCGACCCAGCCAGGATCCTAAGAGGGTCAAAGAAAACTTTTCCGTCCTTTCAATGTGCGCGTGTGCTACTTCAGTTTAGCGTTTCATCAGTCTCCAAAAGTCAGTCAGAGCTGTCAAAAACTACAACCTGACAAATATCAAGGAGAATCGGAGGAGGGAAGTATGCAAAATACAATGCTTGGAAAACACCCATCCTGAAGGTTGATATAAAACGATTCTTACTGACTTACAAAACCCTAGACTTTACTGACCGGGCTTTCAAAAATCAAATCATGGAAGCTGTGACCCACTTCAACGATGGTCCACATCTTGCTACCTTCAGCTACGATTTCATATTCACATTGCAGCAAAGAACCTCAGTATCCGTTTGAGGAATTATCATTCATCACGGGTACAAACTCAGAATTCTTCGTATGAAATCGACCCAAAATTCAAAAGATTTCATTTTCAGTGAAAATATCTAAATTCCTATGTAGTTTAAATGATGCTCTGATCGCATGCCTCTTTTTCTTTTGTATTCTGTGGTAATTGCCACTAGAGGGATTAAGCACAAAAAATTTAAAATCCATAAAAGTACCCTAATGCATCATTGAACTTCACTCCATTCCCATTAGACTCACTACTCACCATTGGGTAAGTGCTCTTCCTGGCGAGTAGCGTCACTTTTAGCATCAAGGCAGCCATTACCTTGAAATCCTTTCAGTCTCAGCTTTTGACAATTCATCTCATCCCCCATGTCAGGGGTTGTTTCAGCCATTTTTGAAATGGAGGGTACGAGACATTCTTTCTTACTTAGAGGAGAGATTTTTCCATTTAAACCTGAAACATAGTCAAAGAAGAGGACTAGGCTTTTAAAGATTTATAAGGCATCCCTGGTTTCAAACCATGGTGGTATTCAAGGGTTTGTAATGTGAGAGGGGGAAATGTTAGCTAATTATATTTTCATTGTAATGAATTCCTGTTTCATAACTATCAAAAGGTAAACATTCAAACCTTAGAAACTATTTCTCCAAGAACCGAAGGAAGAAAGGAAACATAAACCTGTTTTCCACATTGCTCTCACCCCAGCTGTCTGTGCACGTAGTGTCGGGCAGAAAAATTTTCCCTTTTACCCTTCCAGGTTCCGCAGCTGCTTTAAGAATTAAACTGACATAAGACAGATTGACTAGGGGAAGAAACCAAATTTAATGATGTACACATATGGAGCCCCATAAAGATATGAGACTCAAAAGGCAGCCAGATGATTGGGACTTAGGTAGCATCTTGAGCTCAGGAAAGGGATAGGAGTTTGGGGCTTCTAGGTGAGGGGAGGCACTTCAACGGCAGGTGAAGGGAGGGAAGGTGTGGGAACCGACGGCTGTCTTGTTGCGCAGGTAAGTCTCTCAGGTGAAAAACAGTGACCTCTGGTAGTCGTTCTCTTCCTGGTGCAGGCGCCCTTTCTAAGGGAAGTTTCCCTTATGAACGTTGACAAACAAAAATGGCAAGCAATAGGATATATTGGAGTATATGAGGAAGCCATTTGGTGTAAATCTAATTTGGCCTGACCGTGGCCATTGAGCATGCATTGTATATCTGCTTTAGATATTCCCTATGGCAAGAACAAAGCCCCTTGAGATAAAGGTGCAACTTCCCTCCCCTTCCCAACTTTGGCATTCCCTTAAGGATTAAGCATCTTTCCTTAGGCTAGGAACTGATTGCTGCGCTCACCTGTGACCACCCAGCTCAAGACAATAGACTTGCCTCCTGCCACCCCCTCCGCCCTCCAAGATAGCAGACCCACTACCTGCTGTGTCCATCAAGCGCTGTGCCGACAGGGCAATCTTGTAACTATTGTGGGAGGGACATTTCAAACCTATGTGAAACATCCTCTTTGGAGGTATATAACCACTCTGTACACCTCACTTCTTTGGTGCCCTTTCTTCCTTTGGGAAGAAAGGCCTTGGGCCATGGTCCTCAGATTTCAGCTCAGAATAAACTCTCCCAAATTTTCATTTATAGATTGGTTATGGATTATTTTCATCGACAACGTAGACGGCCCTTACACGAGGGTAACACTTCCACTCTGTTTTCGGAGCTTCTCTTCCAGCTGCTGTTTCTCAAAAGCAATCAGCTCAAAATAATCCTATGTCAAAAAGGCATATTTTTGGGTGGCATATTCTGTTAGCCTTCAGTAGATCTTTGCCTCCATGGATAAATCCTATTTTTTAATAATATTTTTTACATTGCTAAATTCATTTTCCTAAAATCCTACCCTTTCTATTTTATTTTATCTTAGGTTTGCATCTACGTTCATAAATTAGATGGCCGAAAGTTTCCTTCCTGCACGGTCCATGCCCATTACTCATAGCCAATGATAGATATAGCAGGTCATTCCAAACTTGGAAAATGAGTTGGTTAGTCTTTCCACCTTCTCGAAGATATTTCAAGTAAAATAAGGATTACTGAAGATTTTTAGTTTTATTTTGTTGTAAAAGTACCTGGACCCAGGGTCTTTTGGAGTAGGAAACTTTTGATTATTCCATTTTTAAGTGATTTGTGTGTCGATATTTTTATTTATTCTCGGATCAATTTTAGTAATCTATATTTTCTAAAAAAACTATCCATTTTTTCTAATGTTTCAGATTAAATAGTATATAGTTGTTTACATATTCACATTGTTTTAAAAATATCTTCTGTATATGCAAAATCACGTGTTCTGTGTGAACAAAATCATAATACAGGGTCCAGATACCCTCACCCCACTGTTTGCTCCTGATCACTCTTACTAGAAGTTTTTCTCTTTTATTAGCTTAGAAAATAAACAGATTTTGGTTTTGTTGATCTTCTCTATTCTATTTCCTTAGATTTACTTAACTTTTACCTTACTTAACTTTACTTAACTTTAAAGGTTAAGACTTAACTCACTTTTTATCTTTTATGTTTGAAATAAATGTATTTTAAGGCTTTATATTTACCTTTAAATGCCACTTTAGCTGCATCTAACAAAATTTGATGTGTACTACATTCATTATCATTATACTCTAAACATTTAATAATTTCTATTACCATTTTCTTTCCCATTCATTAATCATTTTGGGCTTCTTTTTTTTTATTGAGGTAAGATTGGTTTATAACATCATATCAATTTCAGGCATACATAATTCTATTTCAATTTCTCTGTAGACTATATCATGTTCACGACCCAAAGACTAACTACCATCCATCACTGTACACATGTGCCCTGTCACCCCTTTCACCCTTCTCCCTCCCATCTTCCCCTCTGGTAACCGCCAATCTAGTCTCTGTGTCTATGCGCTTGTTTGTTGTTGTTTTATCTTCCACATATGACTGAAATCGTATGGTATTTGACTTTCTCCATCTGACTTATTTCACTTAGCTTAATGCCCTCAAGTTCCATCCACGTTGTCTCAAATGGCAAGCTTTTTTCTTTTTTTTATGCCTGAATAGAATTCCATTATATATATATACACACACACAGTATCTTCTTTATCCATTCATCCACTGATGGCAGGGCACTTAAGTTGTTTCTGAGTCTTGGCTACTGTGAATAACGATGCTGCAGTGAACACGGGGGAGCAAATACCTTTTCATGTTCGTGTTTTCATGTTCTTTAGAAAAATACCAGAAATGGAATAGCTGGATCATATGGTATTTCTAGTCTTTATTTTTTGAGGAATCTCCATACTGTTTTCCATAGTGGCTGCACCAGTTTGCACTCCCACCAGCAGTGTGTGAGGGTTCCCTTCTCTCCACACCCTCTCCTCTCCAATACTTGTTATTTCTTGTCCTGCATATTATAGCCATCCTGATTAGCACAAGGTGATATCTCATTGTAGTTCTGATCTGCATTTCCCTAAGAATTAGCGATGTTGAAGATCTTTTCATGTGCCTGTTGGCCATCTGTACATCTTCTTTGGAAAAACGTCCCTCCTGAGTCTTTGCCCATTTTTTATTTGAGTTCTTTGTTTTTTGTTGTTGAGATGGACTTCATTTTTAAGTGTACAAATAATTTAATACTTTTTATTTATTATTTACTATTTAATTGCATTGCAGTTATAGCACATGGTCTCTATGACATTTATTCTTTAAAAATTGTTAAATTTTTAAAATAATCTGTGATATGATTAATTTCTGTGGATGTTCAACGTGTACTTGAAAAGACTATTAATTATTTCGAGGGTACAACGTTCTATATACATCCTTTAGATCAAAATTTTAAATATTTGTGTTCATAATTTGTGGTAAAAATCACCCGTCATATTCATTTCTCCTTGTACTGCCGTTGTTTTTTGCTTTGCAGTTACATTGTTAAATACGCACATTGTGATATCTTCTTGGTGGATTTTTTTTCACTATCTTTTAGTAATTATTTTTATTTTTATTATTGACTTGTGCATTAAGTATTTCAAATTCATCACATTTTGGGGAGGATGGGATACCATATTTCATCACTACAGCCCAGCTATGCCTGGTGGGACCCCTCACTTTCCCTGGGGTGGGACTCCTCCAACCTGCCTGCACCTTCAGGACCTGCTCAGAGCTCAGTGACCCTCACCTCCTCCCTTAGCAGAATGACAGATACCCCAGACCTCTGTCCCAGTGGCCAGGAGAACAGCAAGGCTGGATCACATGCACTTGTCCTAAGCTGTCTCCTTTCCCTTCTGGAGACACAACCTGCCTTCCAGCCACTCCCAGAGGAGCAGCACCTCCCCACTCACCCTCCCGCCATCCCCCTGTGGACACCAGAGGGCACAGTGGCTCCCTTTAGCGCCATTTTGCTCCTGGGTAACCTGTGGCCCTGTTTCCTTTGGAGCTGGAAGTCTCTATTATAGGAAGCTGTTCCATAGTTTCTCGCTCTAATAAAGAACTCCTGTAAAAGCCTGCCTTGACCCCTCTCCTGTCTTTAAGGAAACAGAATGCTCTCCTGATCTCAGACAACAGAGGGGTGGTTCACTCTCCTTTCACACTGCTCCCCACAACAGACGGAAGGCAGCTGCCCAGAGGCCCCTTGAGATCCTGCCCCTAGTCCTGTCCCTGGCTCAATGACCCCGGAGTGGCTCCAGGGGTTCTGCCCAAGGTGGGGAATCCTCACCGGACAGGTTTGAAGATGTCAGGGAGGATTGCAGCTAATCGGGGACAGCGTCCGCTCAGGGTCACTTGCTCTAGGGGGTCGTGGGTTTGACCTGAGTTTCCTCCGGATTGACTGGGTTTGGCTGGGACACGAGGTGTCGCTGGGTGTGCACCTGGGGAGGCGGCCTAGGCGTGTGCCGACTGGAGGGAGAAACTCGCCTCAGGGCAGCTTGGGCAGGGGCATGCGACATTTCCAGAAATATTGCAAGCTTGTTGTTAAACTCGGCCATTATGAAAAATCAGATTGTAGAAACTTACAATTAAATAAATATATTCAGAACAAAGGTAATAAATACTCAAACTCATCACTTTATAATTTTCTGTCTCTATTTTACTATTATCTTTCCCTGAGGTTATTTACATCTATGGCATCTGTCTGGAGGAAATTACACATACAGGTGAGTGACAGCACATCCCTGCCCAACGCCGTGTTCAGTGACGTCATGTTGATGGCATAAAATCGGCCACACTGGGAGCTTTAACCATAGAAATCACGCTACAAATCAGGGCTCCTCCATCTCTGCCCTCAGAGCCTGTTATCAAATACGCCCCACACCACTGCCCACAGTTCACCCAGAAGGGGACAAGTCCACTGAGAGGGCTAGGGCAGCCTCCCTCGATCCCCAGCATGTCGACGGCCTCAGTCAGGGTCACATCCTATGAGCCGCATGTGTGTCTCAGTGGCTCAGTGTCTAAAGTTACCTGCGTGAGAAGACATCCTGGCAGCTCCCACAGGCTCTGAGGGAAGCAGGCCCCGCGGGAGCCCAGGTGGGTGATGCTGTGGTGCGGGGCCT